AAGCCCCAGTAGATAGTTGTATGTCATAGTTGCACATCCTTCTACTTGCTGTATGTGGGACGCGGCCTCAGCATGGCCAGAGAAGCGGTGCATCGGTGCGCGCCCAGGATCCGAACCCGGGCCGCCAGTAGCGGAGCACGCGCACTTAACCGCTAAGCCATGGGGCCGGCCCAGCTAGGACATTCTTATTCATATCTTTTGTTATACCTATGCTTCTACTTCTATTAGATACAAATCTAGGAGTGAATTTTCTAGGTCATAGGGTATGTATATGCCAAATTTAATAGACACTGTCAAACAGTTCTCAAAAGTGGCTGTGCCAATTACACTCCAATCAGTGGTGTATAAAAGTTTCAACTGCAAAAAAAAAAAAAAAAAAGTTTCAACTGCTCCACACCTTCACTAACATTTTTTTACTTCAGTCATTCTGGTAAGTAAGTAGTGGTATCTTAGAGTGGTTTTAATTTCCATTTCCCTGATAACTAATGAAGTGAAGTATCTTTTCATGTTTGTTGGCCATCTGAATATCCTCTTGTGAAATAGTTCAAGTTTCTGGCCCATTGACAAGACTGAACTATCATTTTCTAATTATTTGTAGGAACTTTTTATATATCCTGGATTGAAGCCCTCATTGGTTATGAATTAGGCAAATAACTTCTCCCATCCTGTTGCCTGCCTTTGCATTCTCATAATGTTGTCTTTTCATGAAGAGTTCTTAACTTGAATGTAGTATAATGTCTTTTACACTTGATTGTGCTTTCTGGGTCTTCTTTAAGAAGTCTTTCCCAATCCCAAGGCCATGAAAATATTCTCCTATATTATCTTCTAGAAACCTTTACATTCGGATATCAGCTGGAGTAAGTCCTCCAACTTTTTTTCTTGGCCTTTATAAATTATAAATCAATATCACCATAGTCAAAGCCAATTTTCTCGAGAGTGGCAGGTGAGAGCAAGTCACATATTTCCTAGGGTCTGTTTGTTGGCTGAGAAGGCAGGAATCATAAGTGGGTATTCTTGGCCCTTTTTAAATTTTAGAGTCAGCTGAACAAGTTACACACACACACACATCAGCTAGGATTCTGACTGGAC